ACTGATTTGAAGATTGGGTTAGAAGCTTGAACTTTTAAAAGAAATTGCAATTTTAAAAACTTATTTAAAGTTAAATATTAAATTTTGACCTATTATTTTTGGAGCTACAAATTTGCAAAGTTATATATAGGCAAACTAATTACACTGTATGCGCGTGGACTGTATTTATGTGTAATTTTCTCTTAAAATAATATAAAAAGTCTCTTCGGTGACGGTAATTTTGTACCAAAAAGTGTACAGAGTGCATAGCCTTTTTATTCCATTTCCAATAGTTTAAAATATTTTTGTCCCTTTTCTCTTATAAAAGATAATAGCCTAGTAAAATAAAATACTCCATATATTCCCGTTTATATAAACTTTTTCGCTTTTTGATATTCCAACTATATGTGTTTTGACCAACATTTTTAAATATTTTTTTTATATTGACATGAGAAGAATGACAGCTTATAATAGTCATTGTATACTTTTAGAATATTTAAATTTTAACTTTAAAATATCGAGTTAATATAATTCAATTTAATTTCAAAATTTAGTCAAATTGACTTAAAAAAAGAAAGAAAGTTCAGGTAAATGGAAACAGAGGGAGTACTTATTATCTTACTTTAAAATTTACAACACTTAATTTCAGGCAACACTTATCGGAAAATATACTAATTAAAGTGATAGTAGATGGTTACTCTTAACATAATTACTTTAATGCATCTCTTATGACAATTTAACTGCGTTTCTACATTAGATTCGTTAAAACCATGGAATTTCATTTCTCTATGTTTGGTGGCACGTTATAGATTTTACAGTAATTAAAAAGATTCATTACCTGTTCTTCTAAAATAATTTTTCCTCTAATAATATCAGTAACTGTGGTGATGATTATTGCTATCACGAATTAACTGCACCATATAAAGGAAAAATTATCTTTTTGTTATGAGGGTTAGCTGGTGCACTGTTAAAAACTCGGTGGATGTTGAGTCTGTCTCTCTACCCTTATCAACTTAAATACGAGGTTTTTGTTCTCATCAGAATGAACTATCGACATGCATCCAACCCACAAAGCCATGGCGGCAAGTTAACGTAATTTGAAGTTTATGAAGCAGAAGATATAGTACTAATATTGGGATTAATAATACCTGGGCTATTTAGCACTAGTGTTTTGTTTGGTTCATTGAATTAAAATAAGATGTACGATATATAATTCAAATATCTGTTTTGTTTAAAACTAGATAAACTTGGATAAACATTTATTTTTACTTTTAGGCCTAGCCATGTTAAAGGAGTTTAGGAGAACTTTGAGGGAAGGTCATCTTTGTCGTTGAGTTAGTTTATCCAAAGATCAGCTAATTCCTATATTGTTATTCCATATTGAATGTGATGCCAATAATGCCAAAATTATGATATAAAATAGTCTCGAGTTTGCTTATCCTAAAGCCGGAAATTCCAACCAAATAAGAGATAAAATAATACAATATTTGTATTTTTTTTGAATTATTTTCTTTATATCCATGATAGTAAATGACCCTTAAAGTGAAGAAAAATGGGATATTGGGTAGGTGGAGTTGAGTTCTTTCTGAAGAGAAATAATAGTGCAAATGTCCAATGAGTGATTAGACGAAGTACCTAATTAGTGAATTCTCTTCTATATGAAAACGTAAATCCATAAATATTAAATATATAATAGAATCCTTGCCTTTTCCTTCACCTCACACCTTTCCCCCAAAAAGAATGGGTACTTTGTCCATATTAGCATCATTCTAAACAAACAGAGCGTTTTAAATCCCATGTTTCTTCCCCCACCCATTCTCTCACACAGACACACAGTAACATTACATAGCACAATGCCTATTTCACACTCTTCCTCCACCTTATAAATATCAGTGCCCCCCACAAAGTCATTCTTAGAAAATGGCATCCTCTTTCTCTTTTCTCTTTCTTGCTTTATTTCTCCCTTTTCTTTCTTCTCCTGCTCTTTCGTCCAATAATGACGATGAGTTTGTCCTATCTTCTACTAAATTCCCTGTACCAATGGCAGAAAAACTCATCAATCAGCTTAACTTATTCCCTAAGCATGATATCAATAAGGTTGAACCAGGGAAATCTGTAGCAACCACTGAGCAAAGACTCTTTGAGAAGAAATTCAATTTATCTTATCTTGGTGATTCTGGAGCCACTGTTCAAGACTTGGGTCACCATGCCGGTTATTATAGTCTTCCACATACTAAAGATGCAAGGTATATCTGAATAGCATTAATCGTTATATTATATGCCCCTGGCGGACGCACATGGTGGCAAGCGGGTTCAGTCGCTTCGTCAAAACCTAATACTGTGTATTTGTATAAATTACGATTAAAGTTGTGTAAATTTTGTATAAATATTTTATTTGAACCCACTTAACAACTATTATTTTACGATTAAAGTTATGTACTTCTAAGATTGAATCCGCTTGCACAAAATCCTGGGCCCGCCACTGATATGCCCTTACAATATTAAGATTGTTTACTCCATCGACACAATTGAATCAGTCATAGCAATTTACGTAATAATCTAGTTTTCAGGTTACCATAACTGATATGAAAAGTTATTTGTTGTTATAAGTCTTTTTGCACTGTTAGTTCACAAAACATAAACTAGATTACTGATAATTGGTTTTTGTTATTCTTTTTGCTTTGTTTTGAGCTTGTCTGATAGGTTTTTTGTTTTAGACTGCTAGTTGTTTTATAGTGCCAGGTCAATGACCGGTTATTGTTATGGTTTTCATATATTTTCTGGCTTTTATGATGCTGTTATTATTCCTTTGGTTTCTGTTGATGGTACTGATATATTGTCTCTTTTCGTTTTCTTGAGCCGAGGGTCTTTCGGAAACAGTCTCTCTACTCCCTCGGGGTAGGGGTAAAGTCTGCGTACACACTACCCTCCCCAAACCCGACTAGTGGGATTTTAATGGGTTGTTGTTGTTGTTGTTATTTTCTTTGTTTTGATTTTTTTTTTTTTAAAAAAAAAAAAATCTTGGCAGTGTTCACTGTTTTGAATTTTTTTTCACTTTTGGTGTTTTGCAGGATGTTTTATTTCTTCTTTGAATCAAGAAGCAGCCAGAATGATCCAGTTGTTATATGGCTAACAGGAGGGCCAGGATGTAGCAGTGAACTGGCTGTGTTTTATGAAAATGGACCTTTCAATATAGCAGACAATATGTCACTTGTCTGGAATGATTTCGGCTGGGACAAGGTTCTTGTTTTTCCTTCCTTCTTTTTCTTTTAACATTAAGCCAATTTGTTTCAAGATGCGTCTAAACTGATTCAAACATCATTGTTTTAAAAAAATACAAGGTTAGATTTTTTGAAGATTATGATGAGAATACACTCCATTTTACTAAGATGTTATTCAAAAGAATTTCTATCATGCATAGTATCTTTACACCTAACTGCTCTTTGTTAGTTGGGACTAGTAGAATTTTACATGTTCAAAAGGGATAAAGATTTTCTTTTTCTTGTTTCTTGAATAACGGTTGAGATCTTTGAACTAAGCTTTTTGCTTCTCTTCATTTACACGTAAAGTCCCTGGGAACCTGTTCATCTTAAATATTTTTTCCAACACCGACAGTGCCCTAATCACTTTATTTGCTTTCATTTTCCTGAATAAGTAAGATTCCTCTCCTGGAATTTCTGATAGATTTCTTGATTTAAGTAGCTTTTCAGTATCAATTATTTGCAAGCAATGACCACAATTGAAAATTTTGAACTGCATGCGATGAGATTGAATTAAGCAAACCAATGGACTTCAAATATCAAATTGTTAAACTGAATTTCTCTTTTGCTTTGATTGTTAAGAATGATAACATGGAGCTTAGTTGCAATTTGATAGGTCTCAAACCTAATATATGTGGATCAGCCAACTGGAACTGGTTTCAGTTATAGTTCTGACGAGGATGACATTCGTCACGACGAAAGGGGTGTAAGCAGTGATCTTTATGACTTCTTGCAGGTGTGTTACTCTCTGTTTTGTGCTGTTTCCTCTTTTTCTTTTTCTTCTCATTTTAAAACTCTAAATTTGGACTAGTGTTAATATCAAAATAATTTGAATATTGTCATTCTAGTTTCCAATTTAAAGTAAAAAACCTTATCTTTTTTTTTTTAATTACTAGGCCTTCTTCAAGGCACATCCACAGTACGAAAAGAATGATTTCTACATCACTGGAGAATCATATGCTGGGCATTACATTCCAGCATTTGCTTCTCGGGTTCATCAAGGTAACAAGAACAAAGAAGGAATTCAGATAAACCTTAAGGTACTTATAACTAATTAGTCCATCTTCTATCTTTTCCTCTCCTATAAAATCTTTTCTTTTCTTTTTGCCAATTCTCAATCGCTAACTCTTTTGCACTTATTATGCTGCTAATTGCGCGAATTATATTTGATTAGGGGTTTGCTATTGGTAATGGACTCACTAATCCAGAAATTCAGTACAAAGCCTACACTGACTATGCATTGGATATGAGATTGATCAAAAAAGCTGATTACAATGCCATAGACAAGTCATACCCAAAATGTCAACAGGCTATTAGGCTTTGTGGTATTAATCTCACTAAAACACCAAAATCTGTTTTCTTCATCCCATAATCCTTCATTATTTTTTACATCAACTTTGTCCTATGCAAAAAAACGTTAGGAACTGATGGTGGAAGTGCATGCATGGCTGCTTATCTTGTTTGCACAAGCATCTTCAACAAAATTATGGATGTTGTGGGTGACAAAAATGTAAGAAAACAGTTTTTTTTTTATTTGCTCTCTTGGCTAATCATAATGTAACTAGGATCACATAGATTTCTAACCATAATATGTGTTAATTTGTTACCTTCGAGCTGCAGTACTATGATGTCAGGAAGACTTGTGATGGTGACCTCTGCTACGACTTCTCCAAGATGGAAACTCTCCTCAACGATGAACAAGTTAAGCATGCCCTTGGTGTCGGGGGTATTGATTTCGTTTCGTGCAGTTCTACAGTTTACCAGGCAATGCAGTTGGATTGGATGAGGAATCTTGAAGCTGGTATTCCTCCACTTCTTGAGGATGGCATCAAGCTACTTGTCTATGCCGGGGAATATGACCTTATCTGCAATTGGCTTGGTAAGCTTCATTCATTTGTGATCCAAAAGAACTGGTACAATCCTGAATTGGGAAAATCCTAGATTATGTGCAGTCTATTTAAACTTACCAATCCACAGTGTGAGATGAGCTTAAATGGAACGACCTTCGGAGAGGATTCATATAATTAGCCTCAACTTGCTTGAGATTGAGGCATAGTCAGGAGCAGATATAGCTCTTAACCTGCAGGTTCATTCATACCGAGTATTTTGAATGTGGAACATAGATCTCTATATGAAAACTCACTAAAATTTCAACAAATATTAGATCCGAACTCATAATTTTAAAAAGTAAAATAAGTTTAATGCTAAAAGTCCTAAAGGTCTAACTCATCAAGGTTAAATCCTGCTAAATACTTGATCCGCCTCTGGGCATAATTGTTGTAATCCAGAACTAAACTACTTTTCCCTGTATGGACAGGGAACTCGAGATGGGTGCATGCAATGGAATGGTCTGGGCAGAAAGACTTTGGGGCAGCCCGATCCGTACCCTTTACAGTAGATGGTGAAGAGAAAGGAATTCAAAAGAACCATGGGCCTCTGACTTTCCTCAAGGTCCATGATGCAGGTCACATGGTTCCAATGGATCAACCTAAGGCAGCACTGGAAATGCTCCAGAGGTGGATGCAAGGGAAATTGTCCAAGGAAGGTCACTTTGCTCATATGTAACTTCTTCAATTAATGAGTTACAATACAAAGACACAATAACAGTTTTACAAGTTCATATGTGGTTCCAGGAAATGATACTAATCATGTAAATACACTTCACCATTTCATGTTATCCTACACCTAGTTTGAGGAGAATGGTGTTCGTTCTGAGGTTACACTAAGCATTAAAATGTTGAAGAACCACAATCCAACTCTTTTAATTTGTTAATTTTACCCGACCTTGTGCATCAGGACAAACACTCCCCATATCATTGATCTCCGGTTAATAACCATGTCAAATATTTTGCATTTATAAATTCTACTAGCATTTATTTGTCCTTCCCACTAATGACAAGCAGTAGCATCATGCTCTAACAATTTTAAGGGAAAAGAAAATGGCATGTAGGCAAAGAACTTAAATTTAACAAGTACTCATGGATATGCTTATCACACAACACTAGTTTATAACATCTTCAACGGTTCATTCAATTATTTGCAATCTGCTATATGAAAGGAGGGCTTAATAATGCTAGAGAGAACATATAGGAAGCAATTTAGCCATTCTACATGCAGATTCACCAAGGGGTTAACGCTTTAGCCTTTACTGCACCCAAAAAACCACATTCTAACAATGCACGGTAACAGAAAGAAAAATCCTTTTTCAGACTCATGCCATGTAATAATACTTGAATAAAAAAACAAAAATCTCAACAGCGCAATAAAATTTTCATTTTCCCCCTCTACGGTGATACATCTTTTTCATTGTTCTATATGGCTCAAGGATTATGAGTGAAGCACATTAATCTCCACATTTAAGAGGGGGAAAGTTTATAGAGTTTCTCTCACTGAGATGGATAAATACACAGAAAATCCAGGTCTTATCAGCTAATGGGTTGGGATAGATTCTACATAAAATAAATTCCCAAATAACTGCAGCTTTCCATCTTTTAGCCCTCTATGCACTATAAGAATCAAATAACATTACACAAAAAAATGGACACCTCTCGTTTCAGACCTCGCATCATGTAATAACACAACACCAGAAACTCATCCTTTCACCCCTCTGTAATAATGCATCTATATCATGGTGTGATTTTTCTCATGCAGTTTCGCTAATTTTCCTATAAATTTCATTCCTTAAAACCCCCTAAATCACAGATTACTTTGGTTTATATACTCTTGCTAGAAAAATTCTCAAAAGGTTAGAAGAATCCTAGCCTTTAATTGACTGGTCATGCTCATCCTGAATGATTAGAAATTCCGTCTTTTCAATTCTTTATTTTTTTCCCCTCTTAAGTAGCATATTAGCTTGAAAGGGTCCTTGCCTTAATCTCATTCTCCTTTTTTTCCGGAAAATTTAAAAAAAAAAATCTGTATCAGCAGAAATTTTCCCTTCCTCTCCACAGTAAAAGGAAATCTCAATAAAATTTCAACTTTGTGGTCTTGCATTTTAAAATTTTGTAGAACCAAAAAAATGGCTAAATAAATAGGCCATTGGCTAAAGCTTGTTTAGAAAACTAAATGAAAATGGCAGTTCAAGCTTCAAACCAGAATTTAAGAAAAAACTGAAGAATAGTCCAAGTACCTGGAAAAGGGAAGTTCCTGGCGAAGTCAAAGAACTTGTCTGCAGATCCAATTAAGAGTACCAGAATTTAACCCCAAATTGATTCCTACTAAATGAAAGTACGTACCAGTAAACGTAACAGTCGCCTGTGACAGAGAAAGGGTATAAGCCATTGCTAAAACTGCAGTATTTGGGGATATGCCAGCGAGTCTATTTACTTTGGATTTGAAATATAGCTGCTGCAAGGAAACATGATTCGTGAATGGTGTATTTCTTTGGTAAGGAAAAGGATGAAAATCAAACTTTGACAAAAATTACATTTCGGTTCCTCTAGAATTCAAGATTTGTACTTTCGTCTAATGGCCCCTTAAACTTGAACCAATTTGTCACACCGAAATCAAACTTACTCATTTTTTATTTAAACACTTCTACTTGATAAAAATACAAATAATAAACACCTCAAGTTGAGGGTGTTCCTCAGTTGTTCTGACATAATTGACACATCTAACATCACATTGTTCGTCTCTTATTGTTGGAAGTATAATTTATGGGCCATAATCGTTTTTAACCATTTTATCAAATTTCTATGGAAAAAATCCTTTATGTTCTTCTTCGGCGGCCACCATCACGACAGAAAGTTAGAACAAAAAAATATAAAATTATTTTTTTTATTAAGGCTTTCCCGTATGTGTTTTTATTATTTTATAACTTGCGACAATGGTTGGTTTAGGTTTGAAAGGGTTCGGATTGAAAGCTGAACACTTAGTTCCTTTATAGTGGCCTATGGTGGCCAAGTTTGACTTGAGTCAACATTTTGAGTAAACGATCTCGGAACCGGGATTTGAAGGTTCCAATAGGTTCGTATAATGATTTCGGACTTGGGTGTGTGTTCGGATAGGGTTTCGGGTAACCCGGAAGCGTTTCGGCGCTTAATGTGAAAAGTTGGTTCATTGAATGTTTTTTAGTTCTTTAAATTTGGTTTGGAGTAGACTTTGGTGTTATCGAGGCCCGTTTGGGATTCCGAGCCTGAGAATAGCTCCGCGTGGTGATTTATGACTTGTACGCAAAATTTGGTGTTATTACGAGTAGTTTAAGTATGATTCGACGCGTTCGGAGCTAATTGAAAATTTTGAAGTTCATAAGTTGATTCAAGTTGGTTTTGGGGTACGATTCTTGATTTCGATGTTGTTCTACGTGTTTTGAGGGTTCGAGCGGGTATGTATTATATCTATGGACTTGTTGGTGCGATTGGTCGGGGTCCCGGGCGGCTCGGGTGAATTTCGGACCACCCGGAGCTAAGTCTAGAAAACTGAAAATGCTGGTTCTAATTTCTTCGCTAACGCGGAGGTGGAGTCGCCTCCACGTAGAAGGAATTGGAGACTGGGCATTTTTTCCCTTCGTGTTCGCATGCATGGGGCCGCGTTCGCGAAGGTCTAGGTTAGGTAGCCTTCGCGTTCGCGCTTGAGGGCTCGCGTTCGCGTAGAACAAGGGCCTAATGGGGGTAGTCGCTTTTTCTCTTCGCGTTCGCGAAGGTGTGACTGCATTCGCGAAGGTGTGACTGCATTCGCGAAGCTCATGCTTCTCTCGCGTTCGCGAAGAAGTGCTTCACTTCCTGGTCCAGTTATGTCTTCGTGATCACGAGCCTTCTTCTGCGATCACGAAGAAGGAATTACTGGGCAGAATGGATCTTTAATACGGGACTTAGTCTCTTTTCTCTCATTTCCCACTTGGTCTTGGGCGATTTTGAGAGCATTTTGTGAGGGATTTTCATCAACATCAAGAGGTAAGTGAACCCTATCAATTCTTAAAAACACAGATTATGGGTAGATTTAACATGAAATTAAGGAAAAAATTGTGAGATTTTGCTAGAACCTAGGGTTTGGTAAAAATGAGTTTTGACCATAAAATATATCATTTAAATGAGAATAAATTATATATTTGAGTTCGTGAGGTCATAGATAAGATTTATATTCAAATATTTTCGTAATCCAAGCACGTGGGCCCGGGGTGAATTTTAGGAACTTTCCAAATTTGGTTGGGTAATTACTCTAATAGCTAAATTATGAACTTTTGAGCATATATTTATTAGTCTATATGACTTTTGGTTAGTTTCGTAGTCCTCGGCGTCGTTTGAGGAGTTCTAGTGAGGTTGAAGAGCCGGATTGAGGACTTGGGACCGAGGTAAGTCTGCCTAACCTTGTAAGAGAGAACTTATCCCCTTAGGTGTATTATTGTTGTGTGCTACTTATTATGGGAGTTATGTACGCACGAGCTGACGAGAGTCCGTACGTAGTAATATTCATAATATGTCCGGGTAGACTTAGATTCACATCATGCCTTTATTTGTACTATTTATGTCTATCATGTGTATTAATTGTATTGATTAGGGCTGATACTGAGGATTTAAATTGAAGATAATGACTTAGCTTCTTACTTTAGAAAAATTGAGAAATACTTGATATACTATAAATCCATGTCTTCTCGTCTTGCAAGTGCTTTCGCGAGCGAGGTAAACCTCTCTACTCTTATGAGATTGGGCCGTTCGCCTCGGCATGATGGTAACACTACTCTTTTGGGATTGGGCCATTCACCTCGGGATAATGGTAACACTACTCTTATGAGATCGGGTCATTCGCCTCGGCAATTGATAATAATATTCTTATAGGATCTGGCCGTTCACCTCGGCAGTACTGAGTACCACTATTCCTATGGGATCGGGTCGTTCACCTCGGCAACTTCGTGCTTAATAATTGGAATTAGATTTGGTTTGTTATTATTGAGTTAGCGCCTTCAAGGCCGATTATGACGTGTTTAGTTACTTGATAAAGACATATGTGTGGACTTACTCTAGTTACTTTATCTGCTTCGTTGCTATTTGTTGTACACTCACCATGTCTACTTTATGTATTTATATTTTTATTTGACCTCTAGTAAGTGTCAAGTCCACCCCTCGTCACTACTTCTTCGAGGTTAGACTAGATATTTATTGGGTACGTGTTATTTTCCGTACTCACGGTACACTTCTGCACTGATGTGTAGGTACTGAGACAAGTACAACCAATGGTCATGCGGGCGCGTAGTCGATAATCTACGGAGACTTAGGCTAGGGAAGGCCTGCAGCTCCTGTCAAAGGACGAGGGCGTCCTAGAGTTGCTCCCGTTGTACTACTAGTGGATCCAGTGGAGGATCCTGTTGTTGAGGAGAAGGATGAGGCGCCTCCAGCTGTGCCAGCCCTAACAGATTTCATGACTGCGCTGGGATACCAGGAGGTCATGGGCCATATGATGTGGTTCATGGACTCTATGACGCAGGCTGGTTAATTTCCAGTGGACCCTGCCACATGTCAGGCGGGAGGGGGAACACAGACCCCTACCGCTCAGGCTCTAGGGCACGCCGCTGCCGTTTATCAAACCACAGGTACACTACCTGTGGGCGGAGCCCAGCCAGTTGCAGTGGCTGTGCTAGAGGATGTACCCGTCGCGGCCGTTGATCAACAGAAGTGGCTGGGCAGATGGACTAGACTTCGGCCCCCTAACTTTGGGGGTGAGCGGTCAGAGGACCCTTAGGATTTCATTGATCGATGCAAGGATAGGCTCCGAAATATGGGGATATTGGGGTCCAATGGGATGGACTTCACCACCTTTCAGCTTGAGGGAAAGGCCCGCAGATGGTGGTAGGCTTACCTTCTTAGCAGGCCAGCATGTTCACCTCCCTTGACTTGGGATCAGTTTACTCATCTGTTCTTGGAGAAGTACATACCACCTTCTAAGAGAGAGAAACTTCGGGGTTAGTTTGAGCGACTCCGTCAAGGTCACATGTTTTTCACCGACTCTGAGGCGAGATTCACTGACTTGTCTTGCCAGGCAACTATTATACTCCCTAAAGACACAGAGAGGGTGCGGAGGTTAATTGCAGGTGTGCACCCTGAGATTCAGGTTCCTATGGCCCATGAGGCAGAGATGGGGACTTCCTTTCATCAGGTTGGTGATATAGCCCGGACGATCGAGCATATTCGCAACTGCAACGGAGAGTTTGTGCTGAGGAACAAGCGGCCCCGGCAGTTTGGAGGATTCAGTGGTGGCCCACCTGGGGGCAGAGGTCAGTTCCTGAGGAGTCAGCCCAGCAGGCCTATACAGTCAGCACCACCGCCTGCTCGGAGTTTCCAGCACGACCCTACTCAAGTGCCATTCCAGAGAGTACTTACCGTCCGCCAGCTATTCAGGGTTCCTCCAGTGGGTATTCAGGCTATCAGGGTTAGACTTCAGGTCAGCAGCCCACTACCCCGAGGGGTTGTTTCGAGTGCGGGGATCTTGGCCACGTGAAGAAGTTTTGTCCCAAACTTTGGGGCAGGTCCAAGCAACAGGACCATCAGCCCATGATTACCGCACCAGCTACAACACTGCCCGCCCGTCCGGAAAGAGGCGGAGGGCAGGTGTCTAGGGGTCATCCTAGAGGTGGAGGTGAATCAGGTGGCGCTCCGACTAGATTCTATGATATCCTCACCAGGCCAGAGGCAATCCCCTATGATGCAGTGATCACATATACTATTTCTGTCTGTCGTAGGGATGCCTCAGTATTATTTGATCCAGGGTCTACTTACTCCTATGTGTTCTTCTCTATTTGCTCCTTATTCAGATGTGTCCCGCGAGTCCTTGGGTGTTCCTATATATGTGTCCACGCTAGTGGGTGATTCTGTTGTTGTGGATCGGGTCTACCGATCTTGTGTTGTGACTTTCTGTGGATATGAGACCATAGCAGGGTCCACTGGAAATAAACCAGCCTGCATCATAGAGTCCATGAACTGCAGGATATGGCCCATGACCTCCTGGAATCCCGGGGCAGTCATGAAATTTGCTGGGACTGGCACAGCTGCAGGCGCCTCATCCTGCTCCTCAATAAGAGGATCCTCCATTGGATCCACCGGTGGTACAACGGTAGCAACTCTAGGATTCCCTCGTCCTCTGACAGGAGCTGGATCCCTTCCCTAGCCTCTACCTCAGCCTCTAGCAATGGGGGGAGAAACTTCTCTACTGCCTGGTACATCCCCCGCGCGCGTTCTCACCATCTATGAGAGTTTAATAGAAAGATACTTAGCAAAATATCAACTGCACGATTGGAGATAAAGAAAGAGAAGTTCTCTCGAGGATAAGTACGAACGTCTTCGCACCGATCTGCAAGATTTTACTAGCCATGCTCATGACTCGTGAGACCTATGTGAACCTAAAGCTCTGATACCAAGCTGTCACGATCCAAAATCCATAGTAGGTTGCGTTGCCACCTAACGTCGCAGTTAGGCAAGCCCACAAATGTTATTTACCCTTTTTTAACATTTAAATTAAAGTTTTCCTTTTAAAAGAAACAAAATAAGAAGGATCTCATGCATCCGTATCTATGCCTTTCTTAACCAAAATAGCAGCACAATAAGTACATCCACTATAGTGATAAGATGATAAGTACAATTATCTAATACATAATTTAAATGTGAAAAATTGTAGAAGACCAATTTTAGATTCCATTT